ATTCGGTAACCTTTAGGTAGTTTGAAGAGAACACATGAAGAAGAGGATGATTTTGGAAACATGCAAGTGGCAGCAGCACAGAATGGCTGACCTCTGAGGACTGTTCCACAGATGTGAATTTCTATTTGGAAAGGAGAGAATCCTAGTGATAATTGTAAAGTGGTAAAAACACAAATAGTTTCTTTTCAATTATATGTTGCTTCCAGACATGTTTCTCTGCAACTTGTTGAGCAACACTTTAAGATGTTGGACTTCTACAGTAGATGGCGCTGATGGGTGATGGGTTTACTTTACAAACAAAACAAAACAAAAAAACCACTTTACGGTTTTATTGTAAACCAAGAATTTGGACTTGCAAAGAGGTATTATTGCAATAATGCACTTTTCATACTTGAAATTTATTTGTATGATATAAAGTTATTACTTAGAGCAAAATGCAAGTTAGGGGGACTTGTTTATAAATTTTGGATAATTTATAACAAATTTCCTAATGTTTCCTAAAAACTCATTTTGTGTTATATATATTACATTTAAAGTAATTTTACAGTTCAATTTTCTGATGGAGCCTCTTACAGAAACATTAACAAAATGTAGAACTCTTTCACATTTTTTAATATAATTCAGTAACTTATTTACCATTTTTTGAAATTTCTTAGTCCCTTACTTTTAAATCATGACTTTCGCCAACTATCCTACTTTACTAATCCAATGAATACCTCCTTTCCACTTGCCTTCCTTATTCTAAACAAGAAAAAAAAGTTGTAATGATCAAAGAAAGAGGTCTTACTTTCCAAAACCAGATACTCAAATATAAGGGTAGTGTTCTATTTCCATCTCCATTTTTTTCTTTTTGTTGTTTGTTTAAGCCAAATGTTGACTCGGTCTTTTCAAAGTTGCCTAGCCCTTTTTACCTATGTCTAAAATGGTTCAAAGTAGACTCTTAAGAAACCAAACCAATGTAGCACTGTTTCTTCAATATGAAACCCCCAAAAGAAAAGTGCCTTGAATCAACAATTAAATCCTCATGACCTCTAAATTAGTATCTAGAGCAGTGAAAAGCTATTAACATTTTCTGTAATCTGTTTTTAAACCATAAATTAAACTGAATCTGTGAAGCTTGAAGAAAGTCAATGATTTGGAAGGAGACATTTATTTCTTCATTTCATGTTGTCTTGCTTCTGTGAGGTTGTTCAGCTGACAGCTTTGCTTAGGAGATTCATTGGATAAAGCAGTTTGTGGATGGCTTCAGGGTATTGTAAATTACTGTTTTGACTTGTTCTTAAATTCATTCAAGTTTACCCCATAATTTGCATTAGCTAAGTAACTTTATGGCTCTTTAGTTTTCCATGTTTTTATCTATATGTATAAAAGTTGTTCTACAAACCCCATTTTGCTATTTTAAGTGTGATGTGCAGAAGAGAGAAGTGTTTTTAACTTTTTGTATCTGATGACTTTAGGGTAGCACAAACCTAGCTCCTTTATAGTTGACATTTCTCAGTCCTCTCTGGAGGTGCTTTCCTGTTGGGACTGAGAGCTGTCCATTTCCAGGGTACCGTGAGACACTGTGCAGGCAGCCTGTCAGACTTAGTTACTGTAACAGTACAGAGAAGGCTCTGTCCTGCACAGTGGGAGCCTGACTATAAACCAGAGTTACTCTTTACTAGAGGAAATTCCTCTTCGGAGTTTGCATCCCATCTCCTACCTTTCCCCCCAAAACCAGCATTGGGATCCACTATTCTGTTGTGTCACTGGTGTGCTGGGCTAGTGGAGTCAGGATTACATTCGGCGTTCAAAACTTCCTATGTACTCACCATCACTGGACAGGTCAACAAAAGATCTCTCTTGCAGTCAACTCATAATCTATGACTCACTGAACAGAGATTGTGCTTCAAGTCATCTCCATATAAAATGACTTTTCAAGATGAGACATTTGAAATATTCTTAAGTTTCATAAAAATACATACTCTTCTTTAGGAGTCTGGCCAAAATTACAGAGTAGGCTATTGATAGTCATTTGTAGCTGGTAATCTTCCATTTTTCTAACCAGTCATTTTTATGTTCTCACGTGAAGTGCCTATCCAGCACGATATACTGGAGATAGTCTCAGACATTGGGACTGCCATCATGTTGAGCACAGTTGATGTGAACAGTGAGGTTCCTTCTTTCCTAAGAAGCCTGCAAGTTTCTTGTTTTCTTCCACTGTGTTTACTAAGTAGCTGTCTTAGGTTCCGTTTCCAGTGATGTTTTGTACCAGCCAACTGTGATAAACTTAACCAATCATGTCTTGTTCTCTAGAACTGAATAATGAATGTCCACCCAGTTTCAGCAGTAAATTTGTAATCTGGGTTCAGAATTAAAAGTACATTCTTATCAAAACATAGGGAACTTCATTATCCTCATTTTGAAAGTTTTGAGATAGATACTGGAAACTTTGGAGTGGGGGTGGGTCTTCTCTTAGTTTCACTGGTTCCTGTTAATTTCTTGTCTAGTAGATGTTGACTTGTACCAACTCTGTGGTAGGAATGTTCAAGTGTGATAGCTTTGCTATGAACTTTCAACCACTAGTAGGGCAGAAAATTCATTTGCAGGGGTATGGGGTTGTGCTTAATCTGAGTCTAGAAGTAATGTCAGAAAATGCTAAGCATGTCCTTTGTAAGAAAACATAAGGTTCCTAATTGTTTAATTACTATGGTAATTCAAACTAATTAGAAGTTTTTAAGTGCAATCTTGAATTATGAAGTTGAGATGTATATATTAGGATCTCAATTTGATGTAAAGTAAATGAGCAGTTACCTGACGGATTTTTCTTTTAAACTGGTTTAATCCATGAGCCTAAAGCATAGCTTCACTTCAGTATTTACGTTATCTTTGTCCATTCAACAACACTCCAATAAGGAAATGATAGGAAATAGCTGAGACTTACTCAAGGATTTTATTTATTTTTTTAATTAGGAAAATAAGTTTCTAGAGTCTTGAGTGCTGGGTATTCTTTGTCTTTCGCATTCATGGCAGCTAAAGAAAAAAAAGAATCACTCAAAATATTCAGGTTTACATGTTAAGCTCTCTCACAGGGAGCTGCCATACCTCACAGTTCAAAGTGTTTTCTCAATTAATAACATGATACTGACATGTAATTGCAATTTACTATGCAGCAAAAAAATGATTCAAGAAAAATAACATACAGTGTCTCTTTACCTCTGTATAGGCAATGGCTTACGTTACTCTGCTTTTAACATTTGTACTCAGATGAAATGCTTCTGTATGTATAGGAATGTCACAGATGCAAGATGCTGCTAGCCTGGGCACAAAGTATTAAAATTATTTTGTGAAGACTGGTGGTTGTATTAAAACTGTTGTGCCATTGTACCTCAACAGATGATTGAGAAGCTCATTCATACTCCTTATGCCTCAAAACTTCTTTGTCTTCTGGGTAAAAGTAACCCAGCTTTACTCCCACATAGTAAGAAGGGTGAGGGAACATTTAATATTGAAACTGTTTTTGGTTGGTGACATAATACAACTGTTTCTGTGAAGGGGGTTTAAGAGAAGACCTCAAAGACTCCATGGGATTGTTGAAATACTAACATAGTAGATGGTTTTACCCCAGAGTTTAAAGGCAAGCAATAGAGTAAGGTACTCAATTTTCACTTTGGGCGAGGCTTATTTGACATGGGTAAAACTTAATGAAGCCCTGTCAAGGTTACAGGATTTCTGAAGACAAAACTGTTACTTTCATTAGTGACCGGTCACTTAGTTCACTGAACTAACTGTCAGAGAGAAAGTCTGCAGCCAAAGTATTTCTATTTTGGAAAATCAACCTAATGATTAGAGGGAAATCCAAATCCAATTGAAGTAACCCCCAAAATACTAAAAACTAACTAGGCTGTTATGAGTCATGTCTTAACCTCAGCGACTCAAGCCAATCGTGGTGGTGCATGCCTGTAATACCAGCTCTTGGAACGTGCTTGGGAGTTCAAGGCTCTATCTTCTACTGTGTGGTGAGTTCCTGCTAGCCTGGGTTACAGATATTACCCTGTCTCAACAAACAAGAAAACACAAGACAAGATTCTAACATGAGAAACTATTCATATAATCAAGTTTAATGTAATAACATGGAATGCAAAAGATTAGAACCATTGTTAATAAGGTATCTACTTCTTCTACTTTAAAAAACTTATTAAGGGACTGGAGAGATGGCTCAGAGGTTAAGGGCACTAGCTGCTCCTCCAAAGGTCCTGAGTTCAATTCCCAGCAACCACATGGTGGCTCACAACCATCTGCAATGAGATCTGGTGCCCTCTTCTGGCCTGCAGGGATGTGCGCAGGCCAGAACACTGTATACAAAATAAATAAATCTTTAAAAAAAAAATCATTAAATAAAACAGGACAATGATCAGAATAACAGTACCATTATAATCACATTAAATAGAAAAACTACTGTTATTTTAAGGATGTAACAAAGGGAGTACCATACATATTTTGTGACTCAGAGGCTTCAGATGGCCATGATAAACCAGGGTAAAAGTACCCCACTGAGAGCTGCTCACTCAAGGAAAGAACCCTGGTCTCAAGATCTGCCCTTGGATGATTCTTACATCATGTGACAGGTGAGACATGTGGGTGGGCTGTGTCTACATAGAACTCTACAAACAGTTAGTGAAATAGTTACTTAAACTGTTGTGCCTTGTCACAGTTTTCATTTCTCTTGTTTCTTTAAAAGACTGTCCACGTTGTGTGCGGTATTAGGTTCAACCATGTTTACATGTGCAGATATGTATCTGGTTGTAACAACAGATGTATGTGACTCCCTGTAATGTGAGAAACGGTGCACCCTTAAGTCTGCTTAGATGTATGAGACAAAAATAATTTTATGTGATAAGAAACAGCCTTATTCAATATATATATACATATATTTAAAAATGCTTAGATGTATGAGACAAAAATAATTTTATGTGATAAGAAACAGCCTTATTCAGTATATATATACATATATTTAAAAATGAGCAGCACAGAGCAGACATAACTGTTTATTGCCCATACTCTTGACGACCAGGAAATGAAGATAAACTTTAGAAAAATACAATGCAAGAAAAGATTCAAGTTGAAAATATATTCCTTTGGTTAAAAATCATCCCCTTTGTGATCATTTGTACTCTTAACTCAGAGCAAGTCCCAGCAGCCACAGGCATGCTCTTGTCACTACTACATTGCACACTACAGTGGTTTTCCAGTCTAGCAGGTATGGAGCTCACTGGCTGCAGCAACAAAAATGAACAGGAAAGCCTTGGAGCAATCTTGATGGTGGTCTTTACTTGTGGTTCCTCAGACACATGTACTTTTCTTCAGATACTGTATAGCCAAACTTTTTGTAGAAGCCGACGTTTTGTGGTAGACATTCAAGGGTGATCTTGTAACAGTTCAGCTTCTTGCTTAGCAAAGTGAGAGTTGATAATAACCTAAAATTTTAAAAAAGGAAGTGTGGGAACCAAAATGGGCCTTGATGATGCTACAGACTAGTGTTATATACAAATAAAAGTAGTATTTATTAAGTACTCCTTTAAGTATCAAATGATGACGTTGATAAGCATTTAAATTACTGAAGCATTTCTATTTTGTTTGAGACACAGTGCCCAGCCTATTAACTAACTCAGCCTACACCTCTGTATGGGAGGAGGGCTCCAGTGCAACATTGTTGGGGGCCGTTGTGCAGCTCTCCTTTAGATGGGCTCTAGGAATCACTGCAAGTGTGGTCATCCTCTAGCCCATCTTGCCAGCCTCTGAACATTTTTTTATGTGTGAGGGGCTGGAGAGATGATTTTCCAGAAGACGGGTTCAATTCCCAGTACCTGTGTAGCTACTAATAGTATCTCCATTTCCAGGTGATATCCTTGACCCTCTTGTGGCTTTCTGGCCTACATAGGTACCAGGCTTACAAGTGCTACACAGACATACATGCAGGCAAAATACCTATATGCATAAAATTTTTTAAAAAATTCACATAGAGGGCTAGCGAGCTGACTTGGCATTAAACTCAGAACACTGGCTGCTCTTGGATCTGACTCCTGCTTTGGTTCCCAGCAACCATTTGTAACTCCTGTCTCAGAGCTTCTAATGCTGCCGTCTGGCTTCTGAGATACCAGGAACATAAGTGATGCACAGATATATATGCAGGTGAAATACCCACTCAAGTAAAACAGTTTTTAAAAGTTCATATGTGAGTGTAGGAATAGTGAGTGGCTCACTTGTGGTTCCACTATTTGAGAGGCTGAAGCAAGAGGATTGCTGTGAGTTCAAGAAAGGCCAGCTGAACTAACTACACAGCATGTCTGAGACGAGCACAGACTCAGAGACTCGGGTATAAAAATACCAGGTGCTGAGAAAGCAGCAGTGATGGAGTACTTGCCAAGCATGTGTGTGAAGTTCTAGGTTCAGTCCTCAGTACTGGGATTGGAGAATCTGAACACAGCCTGCCAACCCCCCAAAAACAAACACTTCTTTTTTTAAATCCTAAAGACTATCAAATTGCGAGAACAATGGCCCGAATTATTTTTATGAAAGGCCTCTAACTGGCTGTGGTGTTACACCTGTAACAGCACCTAAGAGCTGAAGGCAAGAGGGTCTGGAATTGAAGGCTGTCTTCTACTATAGCAAACCAGACCTTATGTCAAAAGACAAACCCTAAAATACGTTTGTGCCGGGGCGGGGGATGGAGCTCAGTGGTCAGGTTTGTCTAACATGCAGAATGTCCTGAATTCCTTATGGAACACTGTAAGGTTGCAGGTGGGGTGCCTTTGTTCTAAATGTATCCAACTAAACACTTGCCATGTTCACATAATATGAGTAAGTAATAGCTATAGTCTTGAAACAGTCTGTATAGCCTTGGCTGGCCTGGAACTGGCCATGTAGACCAGGTTAACTCACAGAGATATGCCTGCCTCTGCCCCTTATGAGCTGGGATTAAAGGTATGCCACCATACCAAGCTTCATTAATCATCTTAAAAGCAGATTTTTGAAGATGTGGGTCAAATAAACTTGATTAGTCCGAATAATATGTGGACGTATTATTCAGAAACCATCTTACAAAGCCCAAGGAATAAGAATCCTGCATAAATATGTAATCTAAGGTGGGCCATGATGGTGCACACCTTTAATACAAGCACTCAGGAGGCAGAAGCAGACAGGGAAAAAAAATGATGTAAATGCTAACTAAGGGGTTTTCTTCTGTTGTGTGTGCACTTAGACAGATCTTGTCACTAAAAGTTAAAAGAGTTTACTTTGCATAAGCCAGGCCTATTCTCCACTGCTCCAGAGGCCGAGGCAACAGGATCACAAGTTCATAGCCATACTTAATGAGATCCTTGTCTCAAAAAGAGAAAAAAGCCAGGCGAGGTAGTACACACCTTTAATCCTCACAGTGTGAAGCCGAGGCAGGCAGATCTCTTTGAGTTCGAGGTCAGCCTGGTCTACAGAGTGAGTTCCAGGACAACCAGGACTACATAGATAAACCTTGTCTCTAAAACAAAACGGTGTGGAAGTGGGGGCTACTAGTAACATAACTCCGTGGTAGAACAGTTTGATTACTTGCTACTCTGGTAAATGGAATATGTTTTCAATTCTCAAACTCATGGGAGGGAGGGTAAAAACTAATAACACTATATTAAAATTTCATTAAATTCAATCTGAGATATAGAATGAGAATGAGTTCAGAAACCAGAGGTCAGAAATAACAACCAGGAAAACCTTATGAAATACGTTTCTTGCCAAGAGACCAAACAGGCCGTCCTGTCTTCCAGGGCTCCAGGTGCTTACTCACAGTTCGCCCAACTGCTTCCCTCTGCACTCGTCACTAATGACGACTTCTTCTATTCTCCCCCTCTACAAAAAAATCACAGTGGGACAGGATGAGCGTTCAGCCTGTTTATCACTAAGCCAGCAAGTACCAGTTATAGTGTTTATCATGGAGAAAAGAGGAAAGTCAGGTGTGCCTCAATCATTTTTAGCTATATCCCCAACCTCTCTTCTACTGTTTAAAGTTCCAATCCTAATCACCATAATGAAATCTTGTCATAAATATAGTATAGCCAACGTTGCTTACTAACAATTTACTACTTTTAAGTGCTGAAACCAAAACCCATAACCTACAGATCTCTCTCTGTCGCTCTCTGTCTGTCTCTCTGTCTCTGTCTGTCTCTCTCTCTCTCTCTTTATGGTTTTGGGTGACAGAGTTTCTCTGTGTAGCCGAGGCTGTCCTGGAACTCACTCTGTAGACCAGGCTGGCCTTGAACTCAGAGATCCACCTGCTTCTGCCTCCTGAGTGCTGGACTAGAGGCGTGCCCCACCACACCTGACCAGAGTACATTTCTAAATGCTGCTTTTTTCCTACATTCAGAGAGCATGTGTGTGAGTGGCTTGGGGCATCTGTGGAGGTCAGACTACACCTTGTAATACTTCTCTCTCTCCACCATGTGGGTCCCAGGGATGGAACTTGGGTGGTCTGACTCAGCAGGACCTTAACCCTTTGAGTCATCTCACTAGCTCATCTATCTGATTTTCATTGGATTTATAACTCATAGAAACTTCAGGAAAGTGTCTTCTGCTGAAGAGTTCCAGCAAGGAAAAATTATGATTTTTTCTAATGAAGCTTCTAAGTTGGTTTCATTAGAAATCATCTGTGCACTTTTCTCGTAGGCACTAGTGTGAGCACATACCTTAGCACATGAATGGATAAATTTATGTTCTATGATCAGGGTTGCTGTAGCAACAATTTGTCCTAGGGTCACATCTTCCACAACTGTAACATAGTAATCCCCAGACGACTTCTTGTGCTCAAAAGAGTCTGTGGAAATGTCAAAAAAGTGTTAGATGGTGGACAGTCAAGGAAAGCTCCAGGCTTGTCTGACTTCATCTTTGAATAGTAAAGCTATTTTGCCATAGGGCTTTAGTTTCCCCCCCCCTTTTTTTTTTTAATACAAAACAAGTGAAGTAAATCGAGCATAAGATATTTGTTTATTGAGACAGGGTGTCACTGTGTCCCTCTGGCTATTTTAAAATTCAGTGTGTAGGCCAGACTGGTCTCAAACTCAAAGAGATCCACCTGCCTCTGCCCCCCAAGTGCTGGGGTTAAAAGTATGTGCCACTACACCCGGCCAGTTTAAACTTGTAAAGCTACTATGTTATTTAAAATACCAGGGAGTTGAAATACCAACAGTTAGCACTGAATGGTCCACACATATAAAGTCATCTGTTGTTACATCATGGAGATGGAACCCAGAGGGAGAGCTTGCCTCTGTGCCCAGAAACACACATAAAATCTACTAGCAAAGTAAGACTTGGGTCTTTTAGGTGAAAAACACTATATTACAGATAAATTGTACATGTAGCCAGTTCTGTGACTAACTGTCAATATCTGCCAATTTAATTTACATTTATTTAAAACTAACACTCAAACATACTCAAAGAACATAACTACAGGTTTTTACAAGAGCCTATTATGGGTGGGAGGGATGGCTGAGAGGTTAAGAGCACCTGCAACTCTTCCAAAGGTCCTCAGTTCAATACCCAGCAACCATGTAGTGGCTCACAACCATCTATAATGGGATCTGGTGTCCTCTTCTGGCGTGTAGGAATATATGCAGACAGAACACTATACATAATAAATCTTGAAGAAGAAGAGGAGGAGGAGGAGGAGAAGAAGAAGAAGAGTCTGTTATATCCACGATTCATAATCTTGGTTTCAAAATATTTTGACAAAACAGTTTTCGGTTTGTTTTTCCAATGTTTCAGGATTACATATTTGTTCTTTTAGAAATAGGATCTTTGCTTTGAAAGCACCTTACAAAGATAACACAGATATGTCCCCACTTAAGCAGTTTTTCCAGAGTTATCCAACAAATAAAAGCAAAGCTGTGTTCCTGCAAATAATGTTTAGCACTTTATATTGCTGGAAAAGCTACAATTTTCATCTACTGATATGTATGCAAACCCCAGGAGTTTAAAAGCCAAGTTATGTAGCTCTCAGATGCTGTTTAGTTTCAAAGTCTCACTCTATATAGGTCTGAAGTAGGAAAAAAAAATTCAACGAAGGAAACTAGACAGTAAAAGTAGATGTCAACCTTCACTCAGCCTGGTTGGGGAAGTTACCTACTAAAGGAAGTGCATTAGTAGGAAATGGGAACAGGCTGTGTTAAAGGAAGAAGAGAAAGTAAGAGGGTTCCAGCTGTCCCTGCCAGTGATTAACTGTGATCTTGGGAACGCTTCTCTCTGGGAACCCATTTTCTCATGTCTCAAAGCAGGAAGGGGATTGTTAGTCTAACTCTAAGACACCTGCCAACCCTAATCCAATATAAAAGCAACAACAACAACAACAAACCTTTAAACACTGAAGAACAAAAAGCATAGGAACACAATTTTTTTATGTAGTTAATTGCATTTGGTATTTTGCCTGCATGTGTATCTGTGTGAGGTGTCAGATCTTGGAGTTAGAGACAATTGTGAGCTGCCATATGGGCACTTGGAGTTGAAACCAGGTCCTCTGAAGAGCAGTCAGAGCTCTTACCCACTGAGCCATGTCTTTTGCTGCCAGAACATAAACACTGAAGTTTTTTTTTGTTTTTAATTTTATAATGAAATTTCTGTGCTTAACATAACCACACAGAAGGAGATAACCACAGTAAAAGGGAAATAACCCTAAAGTGATCCCCCAGTAACTATCAAGGTATTGTTCAAACATTTGGATTCTATAAATGAGGACTGCTAGTTCATAACTTTCAGCTCTTTGAATAAGTGGGTACTGAGCAGAGTTCTAACCATACAGACAAGGTACCCCGTGGTACTTACTCATGAACTGCTCAGGGCTGACGACGCCAGTCTCTGTCAACTGACCCAGTAACGTAAAAAAACCTAGTTTTAAAACATTTCAAGTCAAGAGAAAAGCAAAAGAAAGATTAAAATATGCAAAGAAGTAAAATGTTCACTGAGTAGGTTAAAGGAAATTACTTTTTCAAAACTCCATAATTATGTTTCCTTAATCAAGTTTTTGTTGATTAAACATGCAAATTTTTAGTCTGCAGTGTGCATTCATTGCACATAGTACTGTATTAGATAAGGGCATTTTCATACAAGTACATATTGCATTGTTTTAAAATTTTAAACTGCAACGTATTTTTATAATCAGAGAGCAAATGAAAGCCCTCAACAATATTGGCCTGCATAAGATTTTAGAATAATGCAGACCTTACTATCAATAATTAAAGAACCAGCATGTACATTGTTCATTGCTATTAAAGTTTTTTTTTTTAAAGATTTATTAATTTATTATGCATACAGTATTCTGCCTGCATGTGTCCCTGCAGGCCAGAAGAGGGCACCAGATCTCATTACAGATGGTTCTGAGTCACCATGTGGTTGCTGGGAATTGAACTCAGGACCTCTGGAAGAGCAGTCGGTGCTCTTAACCACTGAGCCATCTCTCCAGCCCAGCTATTAAAGTTTTATGTAAGGGATACCCCATTTTCCTTAACACTTGAAGTGCAGGATTTTCACCTCCACCGAATATCATTTGTAAGCTACAATGTAACTGATATAACATGTTGAGACAGATTTCTAAATTTCTAATTTTACTAATGTTAATGCAGCCGAGGCATAGTGGTGCATGTGTTTAATCCCAGCACTCGGGAGGCAGAAGGCAGGCAGATCTCTGAGTTCAAGACCAACCTGGTCTATATAGAGAGTTCCAGGATAGCCAGGGCTAAATAGCCCCTGTCTTTAAAAAAAAAAAAAAAAAAAATTAATGATAATGCTAAAAGTACATTTAGAACTCTGAGTCATAATTTTTTTCTATTTTTCTTTTTTCTTAGATTTATTATGTACACAGAAAAGGGTGTCAGATCTCATTACAGATGGTTGTGAGCCACCATGTTGGTGCTGGGAATTGAACTCAGGACCTCTTGAAGAGCAGTCGGTGCTTTTAACCTCTGAGCCATCTCTCCAGCTCCGAGTCTTAATTTTTCAACATGCAGTAATTCTAACCGAAGTTACTTTCCTCAAATACCTCTGAAGAAGACAATAGTCAGGTAAAATGTTGATTTTTCATTACCAAAGTTTCAGAAAATTATTTTGGATAATTTAGATATTAAAGAATGAAACTGGCCGGGCGGTGGTGGCGCACGCCTTTAATCCCAGCACTCGGGAGGCAGAGCCAGGCGGATCTCTGTGAGTTCGAGGCCAGCCTGGTCTCCAAAGCAAGTTCCAGGAAAGGCGCAAAGCTACACAGAGAAACCCTGTCTCGAAAAACCAAAAAAAAAAAAAAAAAAAAAATGAAACTGGAGTAGATAAAACCCCTTCAATTTGTCCATGTATGTTATTTCTGCATATGTAGCTTCTTGGAGAAAACTCTTTTCCATGTGTTTAGACAGTATAACTTCATTTTTGTTTTTGAGGCATCCTTTTGGAAGGAGCACTACTGTATTTAGTTATTTTAAATACATCATAGGAGTATCCTGCCTCCAAGATACATACCTATTACAACTGAGTGCTCCAGTCATTTCAAGGACAAAATCAAGTACTCTTAAGTTAGCATCAGGCTTAGGAAGAAAACATAGATTTCTAGTCAGGTTTGCAAACTAAAGTTGGGCCCATACCTTTATTCAAGTCGCCAGTACAAAGAGGCCTCAAAACCAAGCCTTCTCCAGGATTCACTGGAGAAATGGCTGGAGAAAATGTAGCTGTATTCTGACTCCAGTCCACTTCTTGGAGCAGACTTGGGTCAAACATAGGTGTTTCATCGGGTTTCATCTTCCCAGTAAAGTCTAAAATAAAATTTCAAATGTTAAAAGGCTTTATTAGTAAAGAAAACGTGTGCTGGATGAGGAAGTTAATTTCATATAAATGGATTCTGTACCATTATATGAGCTACTTTACTACTAGACTACAACTGTAAACATGTAGAAAAAACAACTTTACTATCAGATGAAAAACGGGCTGAAACTAAGGGTGAAAATAATGGGTGAATAAGAAGTTGAACAAGAAGAAAACTTTAAAACTCCATTTTCCAGGTTACTGGAGACATTTTATCCCTGTGGGCTGGTGCCACTAGTGCAGTGGTTCTCAACCTGTGGGTCACAACCCCTGTGGGGAGCCAGGTGACACTTTCATAGGGGTCACATACTAGATAACCCTGTACCCTGTATTCCAGAGACTTACATTACGATTCATACAGGAGCAAAATTACAGTTATGAGGTAGGAACAAAAGTAATTTTGTGGTCAGGGTCACCACAGCATGAAGAACTGTGTTAAAAGGTCAAAGCATTAGGAAGGTTGAGAACCAGTACTCTAGTGTGACACTGACATCTTGTGGACTCGTGTTTGCACAATTCCAATCCTGCATTTTATTACTAGGCTCAGAAATCATGTGGTATCCCTGCACTAAAGACCCACCGGAGTATGGGAATGTGACTTGTTTCTGTTATGTGAACCACGAACAAGATAACTGAGCAGTTATTCAAATGACTTCATTATTCTCTGCAGTCACAGTAGTATTTGTCTTTAGCCATGACAGAAACTGAGTGTCTGCATTTTGTTTTCATGACAGTTTTCTAAAAAGCCTATGTTAGCTGCTTCTAAATATTTTAAGAATAACCAGTGTGCATGGGTGTGTGCGTGTGCGTGTGCGTGTGTGTCTGTGTGTCTGTGTGTGTGTGTTTGATGCTGTGGACCAGATACAGTGGTGCATGCCTGTAATTCCAGAATTTCAGGCACCAAATGAACAAGTGTTTTAGGCCAATCTGGGTATGTTATAGATTACTGTCTCAAAACACACATATAATCAATGTGATATGAAACCCTGTCTCAAAAAAAAATTTATGAAGTCATAATAAATTTTAACTAGTTAATAGTTTCAGTTTCCTGTACATTTCTTTAACTAGATTATTCTATTCTGTGCATAATCATAAAAACATGTAATATTAATTTGGTGAGTACTTTATATTTGTTCATTCTTTAACAACAATAAAATATGTATCCTGATTCATCCCCAGGATAAAATAAACAGACCAGAAGTAGACAGGATCTTGCTCAAGGCTCCTGGGTCAATAGGAATAACAAGGCAACAGATGGCTTTACAGGTGCCAGTGTGGAGGCTACTCAGTTTAACGCTTGCTATTTCTAACAGTGAGCTAGCTCTTCATTTGATTCTGCACATTACCACAAGTTACATCACGGAGGCAGAGGGATGTCACCTCCTTAACTACTAGGCTAGTATAGTTCAATCCTCAAGCCATTGTTGTACAGGAGTTAGACCAGGGCTTAGGATCTCTATTTTGGAAAGAGAATTTCAGACTAATTAAAAGTGTAATAAAAGTATTCTCGAGAGACCCAGCACTAGGGAGGCAGAGGCAGGCAGATCTCTGTGAGTTCAAGGCCAGCCTGGTCTACAGAGTTAAGTTCCAGGACAGCCAGGGACACAGAGAAACCCTATCTCAAAAAACCAAACCAAAAGAAAAGAAAAAAAAGTATTCTGGGGCTGGAGAGATGGCTCAGAGGTTAAGAGCACCAACTGCTCTTCCAGAGGTCCTGAGTTCAATTCCCAGCAACCACATGGTGGCTCACAACCATCTGTAATGGGATCTGGTGCCCTCTTCTGGCCTGCAGGGATATGTGCACTGTATACATAATAAATAAATAAATCTTTAAAAAAAAAAAAAGTATTCTGGATAGAAATAAGAACCCATTGTCCAGGCACGAAGAAATAACTATCGGGTTGTATTAATAATGTGTTTACAATACAGAGGCTGCTACATTTGGGTTCCCCTGAATGCTCTTCAAATAGTAAAATCCTGGTGGTGCCCAGGGAAGGGGACAATGTTGGGAAAGGGAAGGCAAGAGGTGATAGACACCAGATCCCCAAAGGGTTATCAATACTTGATTTCCAAAAGAAATGTCTTGAAGGCTCCCAGATAAAGCTACACCCTCACTAAACTTCCTAGCTCCAAGTATCCCAAAGTTAAATATGCAGCTCCCAGGTAACTAACACATGGAGACTCTTAGGGGGTGGGCCTGCAGGGAAGGCATGCATGCTGTGTCCCTTCCCCCGCAGCCCCACTCTGCAGCTCTCCCCGTGTCCCTTCCCCCGCAGCCCCACTCTGCAGCTCTCCCCGTGTCCCTTTCCCCCGCAGCCCCACTCTGCAGCTCTCCCCGTGGACCTTACCCTTTGGCCCCCACTCTGCAGCTCTCCCCGTGGACCTTACCCTTTGGCCCCCACTCTGCAGTTCTCCCTGTGGCCCTTCCCCCATGACCCCCACTCCCTGCCTCCCTTTATCCTTTGCTACACCAGTTACCACCCATGCTGAAAGGCCATTTTAGATAAGCTACCCTCCTGGCAAAGGTCAGAGCTCAAGGAGCAAGCAGAAAAGGCAACTTGGGATAGGCACGGTGATTTGGAGCCACCCATGTCCAAAGTCAGTGGGTGAGGAAGCACATTATCTACAAGGAAGCCACATAAATGATGAAGGAAGAAAACTAAACAAACGACATGATCATCACTTTCTAGGAAGAGGGACTCATCATGTAGCTTAGGTTGCCTTCCCACTCTGCTGTATATGTGCTCATGTGTAGGCATGTTTGCATGTGTGTTGGGTACATGTGCACATGTATGCCTGTGAGTGTGGAGGCCCACGGTTGATCAGGTGTCCTCGATCACTCTCCACTTTATATACTGAAACCAGTTCTCTCCCCAAACCCTGGACTCACTTTTTAGGTTGGTGTAAATAGCCAGTTTACTCAACGGATTTCTCTGTCTCCTGGTGCTGTCATTCCCAGCCCACCCTACTTCTTTACATGGGTTCTGGCAATCAGTCAAGGAATTCTGGTCCTCAGTCTTGCACTGCAAAGGATCTACCCTCTCAGCTACCTCCCCAGCCTACCTCCAACTCCTGATTCTGTCTCCATGTTCCCCACGTTGATCACGTTGAGGGTACAGAAGTGTCCCGCCATACCAGACCCGATGCACCTTAAATCAGTTTCTAGCACCCATCACTAAGTAGATGAGGACAGCCATTGGTCCAGTTAAACCCAAAAGATCTAGGAACAGTCAAACTCCTTTTAAAACAGGATTTAGAAAACCTCAAAGAGGAAGAAGCCTATCTTACTAGTCATAAAGATATGCTGACAGAGGTCATGCCTCATTTCAATTTAATAAAAATTCAGGTGAGGTAGCAAACACCTGTGACCCAGTACTAGGGAGGCTGGGGCATGGACACTGGGAGGTCAAGGCCAGCAGGGCTACCACAGTGACACCTACCTCAAACAACACACACACACGAAAACTAACTATGGAAACTGGAGTAAACATGGAAAATTCTTTTTAAAGTTGGTTTTAAGATATCCCCACATCCACCCTACATCTGGGAACTGGGTGGGGCAAATTTAAGGCTAGCCCTGGCTACATGAAACCTTCATTCTTGAGCACTTAAAGATTCATCACCAGCTAACTAAAGTTTGGTTATATGAATAGAAATATACGAAATGTAAACTCTAATTCAAAGCACCGTCCCCCTACTCGCTGTGTGTAACTGCTAAATAAGCGTTCATTTACAAGGCACGAGTACTGCCTTAGCCCTAGTCTGGTAAGTCTCTAGTCAATGAATGATGTAAGGTCTCATTTAGCAATCATATTTCAGAAAAGGCACAAAGAAAAAAGACTGCCACATTGCCATTAGTGACAACACAAGTATCATACAACAAACTATGCTTATAATAGTGCCGAGGGGTTTTTTTTTCCCCAACTGAAAACATTTTAGAGACAATTTCAAGTTTGGCTTTCCAGCCTCTGAATGAGATTGGATACAAATGGGAAGCAGCTGCTTCTAGGAAGACAAAACGGAGCAACAAGTAGTGAACATTGAAGACCAAGATTTACAAATTTCTAAACATGATCTACAGCCATATCAAACTCTCTGTGATGGGTGACCGGTAGGTAGAAAGCTCTCAAGTGTCTTCAAAGCATGAAGTATTTCCCGATAGTGTATTTGATATGCACCATCTTTTTATCTCCAATCTAGCTGGATAGTTGTAGCACGGAGTTCCCAAGACCAGCCTAAAGGTCAAATGAGTGACAGCCTGTGATGAGGGTCCTCTCGTTTTTCCCATTGAGTTCTACAGCAGAAAACTCAGCAGATGACAATCTTTGCATCATGGTATCTGTTTCTACCATACGAATCCTACCTTAAAATACCTCAATTTCCTGAGACCCATGCTTGGATTAATTAAGGGCTGATTATCCCAACAAAACGAAACCCCATGTATTTTTACATGAACAAATTTTGTGTTTGCCTTACATAAACATTAGTTCCTGCACACAATAGAAATCACACAGTGTTTCTAGGGGTACAAGTTCCAGGTCCCTCACCCCAGGCTTCACACAGTCTGCGCAGGGGTTCTTTAGAGCCAGAGGCAGTCTTCAGCCGCTCTGACCGCTGGACCGGTAAAAGGGAACCCAGGGTTAGCGCTCTTTCAGAGCGACAGCTGCAGAGTCCCCAAGTCCCACGCCACGGACACTCCGGTCTCTAGGCCCTCCAGGACCCTGCCCGGCCGGACCGCGGGCCACCATGCTTAGGAGCCAGGCTCCTGGGCAGGGGCGCCCCGGACTCGGGGTCTGCAGCCTCAAGGCGGTCCCAAGCCTGCCCTTCCTCGCGTCCCAGCCCCAGGTCACCTCACCGCACCGAACCGATCCACGTTCCCCTCCAGGCACGTCAGTCTCTAAGCTGGTCACAGCGCTGCATCTGGATGCGGCTGCAGCGCCAGCACCACCCTCTTTTGTACCTCTTGGCCCCCCTCCCCCATACACACCCCACCTCCGAGCTGCAGCCGGAACGCCGGGGCCAAAGGTGGCCCGACCAACGCCTCCGCCCTGCCCCGCCCTCACACACAGGCTGCACACGCACAGTGCAAGCCACACACTCCACTAAGGGACGTGGCTCTGAGGCGCAAGAGAGTTCGATGAGGTGGGGCTCCGGGGAGCTTAGGCGACTCTGGGGTCTGGGGCAAGGACCAGGGCAAAGCTTTAGGTGTCAGTTTCCCTTCCAGGCAAGTCCTCTTTTTTTTTTTTTTTTTTTTTTTTTTTTGCTATCATCAGCTTGATACAGTACAAATTCTTGTCCTAATAGTGAAATGTGATTGACTAAATGTGATTGATATGAAATAGTGATTGAGTAAAACCAAAACTTATTATAAGCCACAGTCATCCTAGGGTCCCCCTTGCTATGTAGCCTCCCTAGTTCTGTGGGATGCAGTCTGATTGTCCTTTGCTTTACATCTAGTATCCACTTATGAGTGAGCACATACCATGTTTGTCCTTCTGAGTCTGGGTTACCTTCCTCAGGATGATATTTTCTAGTTCCATCCATTTGCCTGCAAGTTTCATGATGTCATTTTTTTTCTCTGCTGAGTAGTACTCCAATGTGTATATGTACCACATTTTCTTAATACATTCTTCAATTGACCGGGCATCTAGGATGTTTCTAGGTTCTGGCTATTATGAATAATGCTGCTATGAACATAGTTGAGCATGTATCTTTGTGCTATGATTGAGCATTCCTTGGGTATATGCCCAAGAGTGGTATGGCTGGGTTTTGAGGTAGATCGATTCCCAATTTTCTGAGAAACCGCCATACTGATTTCCACAGTGGTTGTACAAGTTTGCACTCGCAAAAATAGTAGAGGGGTGTTCCCTTTGCTCCACATCCTCTCCAACATAGACTGTCATTGGTGTTTTTGATCCTAGCCATTCTGACAGGTGTAAGGTGGTATCTCAGAGTCGTTTTGATTTGCATTTCTCTGATGACTAAGAATGTTGAGCATTTCCTTAAATGTCTTTCATCCATTTGAGATTCTTCTTTTGAGAATTCTCTGTTTAGCTCTATAGCCCATTTTTTAATTGGATTGTTCAGTATTTTGATGTCTAGCTTCTTGAGTTCTTTATATACTTTGGAGATCAGTCCTCTGTCAGATGTGGGGTTGGTGAAGGTCTTCTCCCATTCTGTAGGCTGTCTTTTTGTCTTATTGACCGTATCTTTGGCCCTACAAAAGCTTTTCAGTTTCAGGAGGTCCCATATATTAATTGTTGCTCTCGGTGTCTGAGCTACTGGTGTTATATTTTAGGAAGTGATTTCCTGTGCCAATATGTTCAAGAGTACTTCTAGTTTCTCTTCTATCAAGTTCAGTGTAGCTGGATTTATGTTGAGGTCTTTGATCCACTTGGACTTGACTTTTGTGCATGGTGACAGATATGGATCTATTTGCAATCTTTTACATGTTGACATCCAGTTATGCCAGCACCATTTGTTGAAGATACTTTCTTTTTTCCTTTGTATAGTTTTGTCTTCTTTGTCAAAAATCAGGCGTTCATATGTGGGTGGATTAATGTCAGGGTCTTCAATTCGATTCCATTGGCCTATATGTCGGTTTTCATGCCAGTACCAAGCTGTTTTTATTACTATAGCTCTATAGTGGAGCTTGAGGTCAGGGATGGTGATGCCTCCAGAGGTTGTTTTATTGTACAGGACTCTTTTAGCTATCTTGGGTTTTTTGCTTTTCCATATGAAGTTGAGTATTGTTCTTTCCAGGTCTGTGAAGAATTGTGTTGGGATTTTGATGGGGATTGCAGTGAATCTGTAGATTGCTTTTAGTAAGATTGCCATTTTTACTATGTTAATCTTACCTATCCATGATCATGGAAGATCTTTCCATTTTCTGATATCTTCTTCAATTTCTTTCTTTAGAGACTTAAAGTTCTTATCATACAGGTCCTTCACTTGTTTAGTTAGTGTTACCCCAAGGTATTTTATATTATTTGTGGCTATTGTAAAGGATGATGTTTCTCTGATTTCTTTCTCAGCCCTTTTATCATTTGTGTATAGGAGGACTACTGACTTTTTTGAGTTGATCTTGTATCCTGCCACTTTACTGAAGGAGTTTATCAGCTGTAGGAGTTCCCTGGTAGAATTTTTGTGGTCACTTATGTATACTATCATATCATCTGCAAATAGCAAAAGTTTGACTTCTTCCTTTCAAATTTCTATCCCTTTGATCTCCTTTTGTTGTCTTATTGCTCTGGCTAGAACTTCAAGTACTGTATCGAATAAATATGGAGAGAGTGGACAACCTTGTCTTGTTCCTGATTTTAGTGGAATCTCTTTGAGTTTCTCTCCATTTAATTTGATGTTGACTGTTGGCTTGCTGTAAATTGCCTTTATTATGTTTAGGTATGTTCATTGTATTCCTAGTCTCTCTAAGACCTTTACCATAAAAGGGTGTTGGATTTTGTCAAAGGATTTTTCAGCATCTAATGAGATGATCACATGGTTTTTTTTCTCTCAGTTTGTTTATATGGTGTATTACATTGACAGATTTTCCTATGCTGAACCATCCTTGCATCCCTGGGATGAAATCTACTTGGTCATGGTGAATACTTTTTTTGATATGTTCTTGGATTCAGTTTGCCAATATTTTGTTGAGTATTTTTACATCAATGTTCATGAGGGAGACTGGTCTGTAATTCTCTTTGTTACATCTTTGTGTGGTTTGGGTATCAGGGTAAACTGTAGCCTCATAAAAAGAGTTTGGTAATGTTCCTTCTGTTTCTATTGTGTGGAACAATTTGAAGAGTATTGGTATTAGCTCTTCTTTGAAAATCTGGTAGAATTCTGCACTGAAACCATCTGGTCATGGGCTTTTTGGTTGGGAGAATTTTAATGACTATTTCTATTTCCTTAGGGTTTATTGGTCTATTTAAATACTTTATCTGGTCTTGATTTAACTTTGGTATGTGTTACCTATCCAAAAAATTGTTCATTTCTTTCAGATTTTCCAATTTTGGGGAGTACAGGTTTTTGAAGTATGACCTGATGATTCACTGGATTTCCTCAGTTTCTGTTGTTATGTCTCCCTTTTCATTTCTGATTTTGTTAATTTGGGTGCTCTCTCTCTGCCTTTTGGTTAGTTTGGATAAGAGTTTGTCTGTCTTGTTGATATTTTTCAAAGAACCAACTCTTTGTTTCATTGATTCTTTGTATTGTTCTCTTGGTTTCTATTTCATTGATTTCCACCCTCAATTTGATTATTTCCTGGCATCTATTCCTCCTGGGTTAGTTTGTTTCTTTTTGTTCTAGAACTTTCAGGTGTGCTGTTAAGTCACTAGGGTGAGATTTCTCCAACTTCTTTATGTGGGCATTTAGTGCTATGAATTTTCCTCTTAGCACTGCTTTCATAGTGTCCCATAAGTTTGGGTATGTTGTACTTTCATTTTCATTGAATTCTAGGAAACCTTTAATTTCTTTCTTTATTTCTTCCTTGACCACTGGTGTTTTAGGTGGGCATTATTCAGCTTCCATGAGATTGTAGGCTTTCTATAGTTTTTGTTGTTGTTGAAATCTAACTTTAAGGCATAGTGGTCCGATAAAATACAGGAGGTTATTCCAATGTTTTTGTATCTGTTGAGATTTGCTTTGTGATCGAGCATATGGTCAATTTTTGAGACTGTTCCATGGGGTGCTAAGAAGAAGGTATATTCTTTTGTGTTAGGGTGGAATGTTCTGTAGATATCTATTAAGTCCATTTGAGTCATAACATCTGTTAGGTCCTTTATTTCTCTGTTAAGTTTCAGTCTGGTAGATCTGTCCATTGGTGAGAGTGGTGTGTTGAAATGTCCCACTACTAGTGTGTGGGGTTTGATGTGCGATTTAAGCTTTAGTAATGTTTCTTTTACAAATGTGGGTGCCTTTGTATTTGGGACATAAGTGTTCAGAATTGAGACTTCATCTTGGTGGATTTTCCCTGTGATAAATATGTAATGTCCTTCCCAATCTCTTTCGATTGATTTTAGTTTCAAGTCTATTTTATTAGATATTAGGATAGCTACACCAGCTTGCTTCTTAAGTCCATTTGATGGGGAAAAAAAGGCTTTTCCCAGCCTTTTACTCTGAGGTAGTGTCTGTCTTGGAAGTTTAGGTGTGTTTCTTGTATGCAGCAGAAGGATGGATCCTGTTTTCTTATCCATTCTTTTAGCCCGTGTCTTTTTATAGGTGAGTTGAGATCATTGATGCTGATGGATATTAATGACCAGTGATTGGTAATTCCTGTTATTTTTTGGTGGAAGTGTTGTGTTTCCCTTCTTTGGTATTTGTTGGTGTGGGATTTTCTATAGCCTGACTTTTCATGGATGTGTTTGATTTCCTTAGGTTGGATTTTTTTCTTCTAGTGTTTTCTGTAGGGCTGGATTTGTGGATAGGTATTGCTTAAATCTGGTTTTATCATGGAATATTTTGTTTACTCCATCTATGGTGATTGAGAGTTTTGCTGGGAATTATAGTCTGGGTTGGCATCCGTGGTCTCGGAGTATCTGCATAACATTTGTCCAGGACCTTCTAGCTTTCATAGTCTCTATTGAGAAGTCTGGTGTTATTCTGATGGGTCTGCCTTGATATGTCACTTGGCCTTTTTCTTTGTGACTCTTAATTTTTTTTTTTGTTCTGTATGTTTAGTGTTTTTTTGGTTTTGTTTTGGTTTGATTTGGTTTTTTTGTTTTTTGTTTTTTGGGTTTTTTTTTTTGGTTTTTTTGTTTTTTTTGATTTTTCAAGACAGGGTTTCCTGTGTAGTTTTGTGCCTTTCCTGGAACTCACTTTGTAGACCAGGCTGGCCTCGAACTCAGAGATCCTCCTGCCTCTGCCTCCCGAGTGCTGAGATTAAAGGTGTGCACCACCACCGCCCGGCCTAGTGTTTTGATTATTATGTGGTGAGGGAACTTTTTTTTTTTTGGATCCAACCTATGTAAGCTTCTTGTATCTTCATAGGTATTTCTTTCTTTAGGTAGGGAAAGTTTTCTTCTATGGTTTCATTGAATATATTTTCTGTGCCTTTGACTTGGTATTCTTCTCCTTCTTCTATCCCTATTATTCTTAGGTTTGGGCTTTTCATAGTGTCCCAAATTTCCTGGACGTTTTGTGTTACGACTTTTTTGGCTTTAGCGTTTTCTTTGACTGACGAATCTATTTTCTCTATTGTGTCTTCAACGTCAGAGATTCTCTGTTCCATCTCTTGCATTCTGTTGGTTATGCTTGCATCTGTAGTTCCTGTTCGTTTAGTCAGATTTTCTATTTCCAGCATTCCATCCGTTTGTGTCTTCTTTATTGTCTTGATTTCAATTTTCAAATCTTGAGCTGTTTCCTTCTCAGTTTAATTCTTGGCTTTCTTTCACTTCTTCCAATTTTTTGTTTGTTTTTAGTTCCATTACTTTAAAAGAATTCTTCATTTCCTCTTTAACGGCCTCTATCATCTTCTTAAAGTCATTTTTAGGATTGATTTCTTCTGCTTCTTCTGCGTTGGTATGTTCAGGTCTTGTGGGTGTAGAATCACTAGGTTCTGATGTTGTCATATAGGTCTTTATGTTGTTGCCTGTATTTCTGCACTGCCATCTACTCATCCCTGGCATCCCTGTAAAGGTAAAAGAGAACCAGCTCCACACATTGGTACTCTATCCTCCACATGTGTGCTGTAGCAAGTATGCTGCCACATGCATGTACATATAGGCAAGAATAATAAATACAAGAAGATTGGTTTAAACAAAAGTGGTAGCAGAGGGAAAACAGATGAGCTACTGGGTTTATTTGAAAGCATTGCTAGCTGGCAGGACTTGATACTTGATGGATATAGGTTCTGAGGGGGTGAGGATAAAGATGAATCTGTCTTTTGATTGAACAACTCCAAGATGGCTCATCACTGTTAGAGAGGAAACAAGGGGTAATTTGCAGAGTAAAATCAAGAGTTGTTTTTTTTTTTTAACTTGGTTTATGGTGCAGAGCATTAAACTGATAACCTTGTACATGCTAGACAAGTACTACACTCCTATCCTAGCCTCTGAGAATTTGATTCTATCAGGGTTAGAAAGAATAGAGAGGAAGTACACAGTTACACACATGTGTAAGGAGTGGATGAAGAGTTAAGACGGGAATATAGCTAGTGGTAGCCTGCTTCTGACCTAGCTTGCTGGCATGGACAGGGCTTCAGGTTCAGATTCCAGTAGCAGGGTAAAGGAGCGTTTGATGTAGTTGCATTTGCCATGCTCATACACCTGTAAGTCCAGGAAAAGAGGGTCACAAGTCTCAACCAAATGGCACATTGGAAGTCAGCCAGGATTCTTTGCGACTCTGCCTCCAAAACAAACAAGCAAACAAACAAACAAACACACAAAAAAAACCATTTCAAAGGCAGAACACTAGGGCACTCAGGCATGCAGAGGATGAGGAAATAAAACTAACAAAGAAAGATCCCGGTGGTCTGCTTTCAGAGGTGTTGGGTGGAGACTGCAGAAGGAAGGAGTGGTCCCCTATTTCAAAGAATCTGAAGTCCCTGTGGGACAGTTTGTTCAAGGAAAACTAGGAAAGGAGAATTTTGTTTGTGTTGATTCTTAGAACCATTTAATAAGATTACAGATTTAAGTTTTAGGTCCCTCTACCCTTTGTACTATTTTAACATAGAATTAGACCATTATAGCTAATGCCCCAGTGGCAGAAGATCCATTCTGTCTGGCAGTGAGCTATTGGCACTACTGAATTTCTAATTATCAGTAACCTTTTGACAGTTACCAGGTAGGAATTGTGACCCTTCATTGTGGATGTAACGGTCTTACTAAATAAGAAACACAGAGCCAAATGCAGAGTTAAAAGCCCAAGAGGTCAGAGCAGTAGCTAAGAGCTGAGACTAAAACCCTTTCTTACCCCTCACTGCTGCCGCTGCCGTCCTTCCCCTCTGAAAGAGACCTACTTCCTGTGTATCTGTCTTTTTATTGACTTTCTGTTCTGCCTTCTCATTGGTTGTAAGCCCAACCATATGACCTCCTCGACACTGCCTGTCTATACAGACCTGCAGGTCTCTATGGTTGGTATTGAGATTAAAGGCGTGTGTCTCCATGCTGGTGGTGTCCTTGAACACACAGAGATCTGCCTGTCATGTGATTGGGATTAAGGGTGTGTGCTACCACTGCCAGACTTCTGCTATGGCTTGCTATTAGCTCTGACCCCCAGGCACTTTCATTTATTAACATACAAATAAAATATCACCATGCTTCATTCCATTTGTGAGACTATGGTACCAGCCCTTTGGCTGTAAACTAAGAATACAAATGTCCACATTAACCATTGTTTGGGTATTTAAGAATATAAATGTATATCTGAACTAATTAAGGTATTTTTTTTTTAGGAATATGAAGCCATCTACTTAGCAAAATTAACAATACAGATGATGTCACCACTCCAGATAGAAAGGTCCTTATCTGTTCATTCTGGTACCACAGGTAAGGGTGTTTTCTTTTTCAGAAAACTGAAGAGAAAGGTACTGGTGGGGAGTAGAAAAGCATCTGATAAATGTTCGATGTACTACTGAGCAATCTAAGATGTTTAGAAACGCTGAATAAACTATTTACAGTTTCAAAGGATTAGCTGTCTAGTGAATAAACAGTGTATGTACCTCTGATGTGCATAAACTATAATGCAGAGACAATTATAATAGCAGTTTGAAGAGCATGTATCTCTTGGACCCACATGGTACAGCAGAGAACTGCCTCTACCTTCCAAGTGCTGGAATTTAAGGTGTGTGCCACCATACCCACCTACTCCTTTGCTCTCTCCTCTGATCCACTTATTTCATAGTTAACAGTCTAAGCAAATGCTCAACTTTTTATCTTCTTTTCCAAGTTCTTACTGCTCATTTGTAACAGTTCTTGTAAGATTAGAGCAGGTTATGGGCCTATTGTTGAGCTGGCATTTAAGCACAAGTCCAGAATGCACCATTCAGTCCAGATGTTCCTTTCTTGGGCTCAGCTTCCCAGTTATCCTTGACTCTTTAATCTTGACCCTCTCTCCAATCACTGTTTCAACACTGTAGTGTTTGCCAGAATCTTTAAAGCACACTTCCTTCCAAATAGTACTTTAAACAAAGCCTAGTTAGGTCAACACGAGCCTCTGAGCCAGATTATCCTGGTATATTCTGTACATTGTAGCCAAATTTATTTCCTTACTTGTAATGATGTTTTGGTTTGGCCAAAGACTTCATTGACTGTTCTCGAAGAAGTGTAGACTAGGAGATCTAATGGTTCTCATGCAGAGCCACAGGTAGCTACCTAGTTCCCTACCCTCTGTAGTAAAAGCCCTTCTGGCTTTTCAGTTTGTGTTTCATTGCTCCTCTTTGTGTCTACCCTCCAAAAAACTAAATGGATGGTCTCCTGCAGTGGTTTTCTTACTGTGCGTAAGATTCATCTTCTCTGTTCTTCCACACAGCTTAGATGCCATCTCCTCAAATGAGGCAGGGTTAGTGCACTCTTCTCCAAGCCCTAGTCGGGGAGTCCTAGAGAAGTGCATCACTGCGCCTGAAACTCCTATCACCTGTATTTAGCTTTAGGGGTTTCTTTCCACTTTTACTCTGTTGATACTATATTTACATCTTTATTAATCTTCTAGTGAAGCAATCACGTGGTTGAATTTGCAGTCTGAATTATATTATGATTTAGCACAACTCTAAATCTACAGCCATTTGGTCGTTAGTCACAGAGCACAGCCAACTGCCAGTTTAACTGTTCCTTCAGGTTTCCCTCCATGAGACCCCTTTCTGAATGTAACTGCAGGCATGTAGAGATAATTTTCTTTCTTTCTGAGATGTTTCTGTACAGTGGTCTCTGGTGTAGGAAATCAATCAGATCTATATACTTTCTTTGCTCCAACCCATCAGTCTGGATGAGAAAGCCACAGCTTTAGCAGAAAAATATCTTCAACTGCTTTTCTTTGTAACAGCAACTGTGTGAACAGAAAATTATAACTAAAAATCATATGAACACAAACTCACCTACTAGATGTGGTATCCCACGACATGTTATGTTGCCTCAACAGCATAAAGTTGGTGATAAGCAGATTTAATGTATCACTCACTCTTGAAAAGTTCTACTTTTCATGCTATTTTAGAACTGATGTTTATTATGTGCAATACCTCAGACATTAAGTTGCCAATGTAACTTTACTTCATGATGCAACATAAAGAATTGACTAAAGTTTGCCCTAAATTCAAGCATGAAATTTTGGTAACACTTGTACTGTATCACTTAGTGAAAGAACAGATTTTTGCTGCCTGTAGTCTTAACATGAACTCATGTAAGTTTTCCCTTTCTTTTATATCATTCGGTAACCTTTAGGTAGTTTGAAGAGAACACATGAAGAAGAGGATGATTTTGGAAACATGCAAGTGGCAGCAGCACAGAATGGCTGACCTCTGAGGACTGTTCCACAGATGTGAATTTCTATTTGGAAAGGAGAGAATCCTAGTGATAATTGTAAAGTGGTAAAAACACAAATAGTTTCTTTTCAATTATATGTTGCTTCCAGACATGTTTCTCTGCAACTTGTTGAGCAACACTTTAAGATGTTGGACTTCTACAGTAGATGGCGCTGATGGGTGATGGGTTTACTTTACAAACAAAACAAAACAAAAAAACCACTTTACGGTTTTATTGTAAACCAAGAATTTGGACTTGCAAAGAGGTATTATTGCAATAATGCACTTTTCATACTTGAAATTTATTTGTATGATATAAAGTTATTACTTAGAGCAAAATGCAAGTTAGGGGGACTTGTTTATAAATTTTGGATAATTTATAACAAATTTCCTAATGTTTCCTAAAAACTCATTTTGTGTTATATATATTACATTTAAAGTAATTTTACAGTTCAATTTTCTGATGGAGCCTCTTACAGAAACATTAACAAAATGTAGAACTCTTTCACATTTTTTAATATAATTCAGTAACTTATTTACCATTTTTTGAAATTTCTTAGTCCCTTACTTTTAAATCATGACTTTCGCCAACTATCCTACTTTACTAATCCAATGAATACCTCCTTTCCACTTGCCTTCCTTATTCTAAACAAGAAAAAAAAGTTGTAATGATCAAAGAAAGAGGTCTTACTTTCCAAAACCAGATACTCAAATATAAGGGTAGTGTTCTATTTCCATCTCCATTTTTTTCTTTTTGTTGTTTGTTTAAGCCAAATGTTGACTCGGTCTTTTCAAAGTTGCCTAGCCCTTTTTACCTATGTCTAAAATGGTTCAAAGTAGACTCTTAAGAAACCAAACCAATGTAGCACTGTTTCTTCAATATGAAACCCCCAAAAGAAAAGTGCCTTGAATCAACAATTAAATCCTCATGACCTCTAAATTAGTATCTAGAGCAGTGAAAAGCTATTAACATTTTCTGTAATCTGTTTTTAAACCATAAATTAAACTGAATCTGTGAAGCTTGAAGAAAGTCAATGATTTGGAAGGAGACATTTATTTCTTCATTTCATGTTGTCTTGCTTCTGTGAGGTTGTTCAGCTGACAGCTTTGCTTAGGAGATTCATTGGATAAAGCAGTTTGTGGATGGCTTCAGGGTATTGTAAATTACTGTTTTGACTTGTTCTTAAATTCATTCAAGTTTACCCCATAATTTGCATTAGCTAAGTAACTTTATGGCTCTTTAGTTTTCCATGTTTTTATCTATATGTATAAAAGTTGTTCTACAAACCCCATTTTGCTATTTTAAGTGTGATGTGCAGAAGAGAGAAGTGTTTTTAACTTTTTGTATCTGATGACTTTAGGGTAGCACAAACCTAGCTCCTTTATAGTTGACATTTCTCAGTCCTCTCTGGAGGTGCTTTCCTGTTGGGACTGAGAGCTGTCCATTTCCAGGGTACCGTGAGACACTGTGCAGGCAGCCTGTCAGACTTAGTTACTGTAACAGTACAGAGAAGGCTCTGTCCTGCACAGTGGGAGCCTGACTATAAACCAGAGTTACTCTTTACTAGAGGAAATTCCTCTTCGGAGTTTGCATCCCATCTCCTACCTTTCCCCCCAAAACCAGCATTGGGATCCACTATTCTGTTGTGTCACTGGTGTGCTGGGCTAGTGGAGTCAGGATTACATTCGGCGTTCAAAACTTCCTATGTACTCACCATCACTGGACAGGTCAACAAAAGATCTCTCTTGCAGTCAACTCATAATCTATGACTCACTGAACAGAGATTGTGCTTCAAGTCATCTCCATATAAAATGACTTTTCAAGATGAGACATTTGAAATATTCTTAAGTTTCATAAAAATACATACTCTTCTTTAGGAGTCTGGCCAAAATTACAGAGTAGGCTATTGATAGTCATTTGTAGCTGGTAATCTTCCATTTTTCTAACCAGTCATTTTTATGTTCTCACGTGAAGTGCCTATCCAGCACGATATACTGGAGATAGTCTCAGACATTGGGACTGCCATCATGTTGAGCACAGTTGATGTGAACAGTGAGGTTCCTTCTTTCCTAAGAAGCCTGCAAGTTTCTTGTTTTCTTCCACTGTGTTTACTAAGTAGCTGTCTTAGGTTCCGTTTCCAGTGATGTTTTGTACCAGCCAACTGTGATAAACTTAACCAATCATGTCTTGTTCTCTAGAACTGAATAATGAATGTCCACCCAGTTTCAGCAGTAAATTTGTAATCTGGGTTCAGAATTAAAAGTACATTCTTATCAAAACATAGGGAACTTCATTATCCTCATTTTGAAAGTTTTGAGATAGATACTGGAAACTTTGGAGTGGGGGTGGGTCTTCTCTTAGTTTCACTGGTTCCTGTTAATTTCTTGTCTAGTAGATGTTGACTTGTACCAACTCTGTGGTAGGAATGTTCAAGTGTGATAGCTTTGCTATGAACTTTCAACCACTAGTAGGGCAGAAAATTCATTTGCAGGGGTATGGGGTTGTGCTTAATCTGAGTCTAGAAGTAATGTCAGAAAATGCTAAGCATGTCCTTTGTAAGAAAACATAAGGTTCCTAATTGTTTAATTACTATGGTAATTCAAACTAATTAGAAGTTTTTAAGTGCAATCTTGAATTATGAAGTTGAGATGTATATATTAGGATCTCAATTTGATGTAAAGTAAATGAGCAGTTACCTGACGGATTTTTCTTTTAAACTGGTTTAATCCATGAGCCTAAAGCATAGCTTCACTTCAGTATTTACGTTATCTTTGTCCATTCAACAACACTCCAATAAGGAAATGATAGGAAATAGCTGAGTCTTACTCAAGGATTTTATTTATTTTTTTAATTAGGAAAATAAGTTTCTAGAGTCTTGAGTGCTGGGTATTCTTTGTCTTTCCCATTCATGGCAGCTAAAGAAAAAAAAGAATCACTCAAAATATTCAGGTTTACATGTTAAGCTCTCTCACAGGGAGCTGCCATACCTCACAGTTCAAAGTGTTTTTTCAATCAATAACATGATACTGACATGTAATTGCAAAAATGATTCAAGAAAAATAACATACAGTGTCTCTTTACCTCTGTATAGGCAATGGCTTACGTTACTCTGCTTTTAACATTTGTACTCAGATGAAATGCTTCTGTATGTATAGGAATGTCACAGATGCAAGATGCTGCTAGCCTGGGCACAAAGTATTAAAATTATTTTGTGAAGACTGGTGGTTGTATTAAAACTGTTGTGCCATTGTACCTCAACAGATGATTGAGAAGCTCATTCATACTCCTTATGCCTCAAAACTTCTTTGTCTTCTGGACTCCATGGGATTGTTGAAATACTAACATAGTAGATGGTTTTACCCCAGAGTTTAAAGGTAAGCAATAGAGTAAGGTACTCAATTTTCACTTTGGGGAGGCTTATTTGACATAGGTAAAACTTAATGAAGCCCTGTCAAGGTTACAGGATTTCTGAAGACAAAACTGTTACTTTCATTAGTGACCGGTCACTTAGTTCACTGAACTAACTGTCAGAGAGAAAGTCTGCAGCCAAAGTATTTCTATTTTGGAAAATCAACCTAATGATTAGAGGGAAATCCAAATCCAATTGAAGTAACCCCCAAAATACTAAAAACTAACTAGGCTGTTATGAGTCATGTCTTAACCTCAGCGACTCAAGCCGATCATGGTGGTGCATGCCTGTAATACCAGCTCTTGGAACGTGCTTGGGAGTTCAAGGCTCTATCTTCTACTGCGTGGTGAGTTCCTGCTAGCCTGGGTTACAGATATTACCTTGTCTCAACAAACAAGAAAACACAAGACAAGATTCTAACATGAGAAACTATTCATATAAACAAGTTTAATGTAATAACATGGAATGCAAAAGATTAGAACCAAGGTTAATAAAGTATCTATTTCTTCTACTTTAAAAAATCATTAAAATAAATAAAACAGGACAGTGATCAGAATAACAGTACCATTATAATCACATTAAATAGAAAAGCTACTGTTATTTTAAGGATGTAACAAAGGCAGTACCATACATATTTTGTGACTCAGAGGCTTCAGATGGCCATGATAAACGAGGGTAAAAGTACCCCACTGAGAGCTGCTCACTCAAGGAAAGAACCCTGGTCTCAAGATCTGCCCTTGGATGATTCTTACATCATGTGACAGGTGAGACATGTGGGTGGGCAGTGTCTGCACAGAACTCTACAAACAGTTAGTAAAATAGTTACTTAAACTGTTGTACCTTGTCAGTTTCCTTTTTTCTTGTTTCTTTAAAAGACTGTCCACGTTGTGTGCGGTATTAGGTTCAACCATGTTTATATGTGCAGATATGTATCTGGTTATAACAACAGATGTATCTGACTCCCTGTAATGTGGGAAACAGTGCACCCTTAAGTCTGCTTAGATGTATGAGACAAAAATAATTTTATGTGATAAGAAACAGCCTTATTCAATATATATATACATATATTTAAAAATGAGCAGCACAGAGCAGACATAACTCTTTACTGCCCATACTCCTGACGACTAGGAAATGAAGATAAACTTTAGAAAAATACAATGCAAGAAAAGATTCAAGTTGAAAATATATTCCTTTGGTTAAAAATCATCCCCTTTGTGATCATTTGTACTCTTAACTCAGAGCAAGTCCCCGCAGCCACAGGCATGCTCTTGTCACTACTACATTGCACACTACAGTGGTTTTCCAGTCTAGCAGGTATGGAGCTCACTGGCTGCAGCAACAAAAATGAACAGGAAAGCCTTGGAGCATCATCTTCATGGTGGTCTTTACTTGTGGTTCCTCAGACACATGTACTTTTCTTCAGATACTGTATAGTCAAACTTTTTGTAGAAGCCGACGTTTTGTGGTAGACATTCAAGGGTGATCTTGTAACAGTTCAGCTTCTTGCTTAGCAAAGTGAGAGTTGATAATAACCTGAAATTTTGAAAAGGAAAGTGTGGGACACAGTTGAACCAAAATAGGCCTTGATGATGCTACAGACTAGTGTTATATACAAATAAAACCACTACTTATTAAGTACTCTTTTAAGTATCAAATGATGATGTTGATAAGCATTTAAATTCCTGAAGCATTTCTATTTTGTTTGAGACACAGTGCCCAGCCTATTAACTAACTCAGCCTACACCTCTGTATGGGAGGAGGGCTCCAGTGCAACATTGTGGGGGGCCGTTGTGCAGCTCTCCTTTAGATGGGCTCTAGGAATCACTGCAAGTGTGGTCATCCTCTAGCCCATCTTGCCAGCCTCTAAACATTTTTTTATGTGTGAGGGGCTGGAGAGATGATTTTCCATAACAGTTCAATTCCTAGTACCTACATAGCTACTAACTGTGTCCTCATTTCCAGGTGATCTGGCTTCATTCTGGCTTCCTGGCCTACATAGGTACCAGACATACAAGTGGTACACAGACATACATGCAGGCAAAACACCTATATGCATAAAATTTAAAAAAATTTCACATGCAGGTCTAGCGAGCTGACTCAGCATTAAACTCAGAACACTGGCTGCTCTTGGATCTGACTCCTGCTTTGGTTCCCAGCAACCATTTGTAACTCCTGTCTCAGAGCTTCTAATGCTGCCGTCTGGCTTCTGAGATACTAGGAACATAAGTGATGCACAGATATATATGCAGGTGAAATACCCACTCAAGTAAAACAGTTTTTAAAAGTTCACATGTGAGTGTAGGAATAGTGAGTGGCTCACTTGTGGTTCCACTATTTGAGAGGCTGAAGCAAGAGGATTGCTGTGAGTTCAAGAAAGGCCAGCTGAACTAACTACACAGCATGTCTGAGACGAGCACAGACTCAGAGACTCGGGTATAAAAATACCAGGTACTGAGAAAGCAGCAGTGATGGAGTACTTGCCAAGCATGTGTGTGAAGTTCTAGGTTCAATCCTCAGTACTGGGATTGGAGAGTCTGAACACAGCCTGCCAATCCCCCCAAAGAAACACTTCTTTTTTTAAATCCTAAAGACTATCAAATTGCGAGAACGATGGCCCGAATTATTTTTATGAAAGGCCTCTAACTGGCTGTGGTGTTACACCTGTAACAGCACCTAAGAGCTGAAGGCAAGAGGGTCTAGAATTGAAGGCTGTCTTCTACCATAGCAAACCAGACCTTATGTCAAAAGACAAACCCTAAAATATGTGTGTGCCGGGGCAGGGGATGGAGCTCAGTGGTCAGGTTTGTCTAACATGCAGAATGTCCTGAATTCCTTATGGAACACTGTAAGGTTGCAGGTGGGGTGCCTTTGTTCTAAATGTATCCAACTAAACACTTGCCATGTTCACATAATATGAGTAAGTAATAGCTATAGTCTTGAAACAGTCTGATTGTATAGCCTTGGCTGGCCTGGAACTGGCCATGTAGACCAGGTTAACTCACAGAGATATGCCTGCCTCTGCCTCTTAGGACCTGGGATTAAAGGTATGCCACCATGCCAAGCTTCATTAATCATCTTAAAAGCTGATTTTTGAAGATGTAGGTCAAATAAACTTGATTAGTCTGAATAATATGTGGACGTATTATTCAGAAACCATCTTACAAAGCCCAAGGAATAAGAATCCCGCATAAATATGTAATCTAAGGTGGGCCATGATGGTGCACACCTTTAATACAAGCACTCAGGAGGCAGAAACAGGTGGATCGCTGATGAGGCCAGCCTTGTCTACACAGTGAATTCCAGGACAGCCAGGGCTATACAGAGAAACCCTGATCTGAAAAACTAAAAAGAAACATAATGATCTAACTGCTGTAAGATATTAAATACACCAAAGGTGCTAACTAAGGGGTTTTCTCCTGTTGTGTGTGCATTTAGACAGATCTTGTCACTAAAAGTTAAAAGAGGTTACTTTCCATAAGCCAGGCCTATTCTCCACTACTCCAGAGGCTGAGGCAAGAGGATCACAAGTTCATAGCCATGCTGAACTTAATGAGGCCCTTGTCTCAAAAAGAGAGAAAATCCAGGCGTGGTGGTACAAACCATTAATCCCCACAGTCAGGAAGCAGAGGAAGGCAGATCTCTTTGAGTTCGAGGTCAGCCTGGTCTACAGAGTGAGTTCCAGGACAACCAGGACTACATAGATAAACCTTGTCTCTAAAACAAAACGGTGTGGAAGTGGGGGCTACTAGTAACATAACTCCGTGGTAGAACACAGTTTGATTACTTGCTACTCTGGTAAATGGAATATGTTTTCAATTCTCAAACTTGTGGGAGGGAGGGTAAAAACTAATAACACTATATTAAAATTTCATTAAATTCAGTCTAAGATATAGAGTGAGAATGAGTTCAGAAACCAAAGGTCAGAAATAACAACCAGGAAAACCTTATGAAATACGTTTCTTGCCAAGAGACCAAACAGGCCGTCCTGTCTTCCAGGGCTCCAGGTGCTTACTCACAGTTTGCCGAGCTGCTTCCCTCTGCACTCGTGACTAACAACGACGTCTTCTACTCTCCCCCTCTACAAACAATCACAGTGGGACAGGATGAGCGTTCAGCCTGTTTATCACTAAGCCAGCAAGTACCAGTTATAATTATAGTCTTTATCATGGAGAAAAGAGGAAAGTCAGGTGTGCCTCAATCATTTTTAGCTATATCCCCAACCTCTCTTCTACTGTTTAAAGTTCCAGTCCTAATCACCATAATGCAATCTTGTCATAAATATAGTATAGCCAACGTTGCTTAATAACAATTTACTAATTTCAATGCAGAAACCAAAACCCATAACCTACAGATACACCTCTCTCTGTCTCTGTCTCTCTCTCAATGGTTTTGGGTGACAGAGTTTTTCTGTGTAGCCGAGGCTGTCCTGGAACTCACTCTATAGACCAGGCTGGCCTTGAACTCAGAGATCCACCTGCTTCTGCCTCCTGAGTGCTGGACTAGAGGCGTGCCCCACCACACCTGACCAGAGTACATTTCTAAATGCTGCTTTTTTCCTACATTCAGAGAGCATGTGTGTGAGTGGCTTGGGGCATCTGTGGAGGTCAGACTACACCTTGTAATACTTCTCTCTCTCCACCATGTGGGTCCCAGGGATGGAACTTGGGTGGTTTGACTCAGCAGGACCTTAACCCTTTGAGTCATCTCACTAGCTCATCTATCTGATTTTCATTGGATTTATAACTCATAGAAACTTCAGGAAAGTGTCTTCTGCTGAAGAGTTCCAGCAAGGAAAAATTATGATGTTTTCTAATGAAGCTTCTAAGTTGGTTTCATTAGAAATCATCTGTGCACTTTTCTCGTAGGCACTAGTGTGAGCACATACCTTAGCACATGAATGGATAAATTTATGTTCTATGATCAGGGTTGCTGTAGCAACAATTTGTCCTAGGGTCACATCTTCCACAACTGTAACATAGTAATCCCCAGACTTCTTCATGTGCTCAAAAGAGTCTGTGGAAATGTCAAAAAAGTGTTAGATGGTGGACAGTCAAGGAAAGCTCCAGGCTTGTCTGACTTCATCTTTGAATAGTAAAGCTATTTTGCCATAGGGCTTTAGTTTCCCCCCCTTTTTTTTTAATACAAAGCAAGTGAAGTAAATCGAGCATAAGATATTTGTTTATTGAGACAGGGTGTCACTGTGTCCCTCTGGCTATTTTAAAATTCAATGTGTAGGCCAGACTGGTCTCAAACTCAAAGAGATCCACCTGCCTCTGCCCCCCAAGTGCTGGGGTTAAAAGTATGTGCCACTACACCCAGCTAGTTTAAACTTGTAAAGCTACTATGTTATTTAAAATACCAAGGAGTTGAAATACCAACAATTAGCACTGAATGGTCCACACGTATAAAGTCATCTGTTGTTACATCATGGAGATGGAACCCAGAGGGAGGGCTTGCCTCTGTGCCCAGAAACACACACATAAAATCTACTAGCAAAGTAAGACTTGGGTCTTTTAGGTGAAAAACACTGTATTCCAGATAAGTTGTACATGTAGCCAGTTCTGGAACTAATTAAAATGTCAACATCTGCCAATTTAATTTACATTTATTTAAAACTAACACTCAAAGATACTCAAAGAACATAGCTACAGGTTTTTACATGAGCCTATTATGTCCACGATTCATAGTCTTGGCTTCAAAATATTTTGACAAAACAGTTTTCGGTTTGTTTTTCCAATGTTTCAGGATTACATATTTGTTCTTTTAGAAATAGGATCTTTGTTTGCTTTGAAAGCACCTTACAAAGATAACACAGATATGTCCCCACTTAAGCAGTTTTTCCAAAGTTATACAACAAATAAAAGCAAAGCTATGTTCCTGCAAATAATGTTTAGCACTTTATATTGCTGGAAAAGCTACATTTTTCATCTACTGATATGTATGCAAACCCCAGGAGTTTAAAAGCCAATTACGTAGTTCTCAGATACTGTTCAGTTTCAAAGTCTCACTCTATATAGGTCTGAAGTAGGAAAAAAAAATTCAACGAAGGAAACTAGACAGTAAAAGTCGATGTCAACCTTCACTCAGCCTGGTTGGGGAAGTTACCTACTAAAGGAAGGGCAAAACTAGGAAATGGGAACAGGCTGTGTTAAAGGAAGAAGAGAAAGAGGGTTCCAGCTGTCCCTGCCAGTGATTAACTGTGATCTTGGGAATGCTTCTCTCTGGGAACCCATTTTTTCATGTCTCAAAGCAGGAAGGGGATTGTTAGTCTAACTCTAAGACACCTGCCAACCCTAATCCAATATAAAATTAACAACAACAACAACAAACCTTTAAACACTGAAGAACCAAAAGAATAGGAACATAATTTTTTTTGTAGTTAATTGCATTTGGTATTTTGCCTGCATGTGTATCTGTGTGAGGGTGTCAGATCTTGGAGTTAGAGACAGTTGTGAGCTGCCATATGGGTACTTGGAGTTGAAACCAGGTCCTCTGAAGAGCAGTCAGAGCTCTTACCCACTGAGCCATGTCTTTTGCTGCCAGAACATAAACACTGAAGTTTTTTTTTTGTTTTTAATTTCATAATGAAATTTCTGTGCTTAACATAACCACACAGAAGGAGACAACCACAGTAAAAGGGAAATAACCCTAAAGTGATCCCCCAGTAACTATCAAGGTATTATTCAAACATTTGGATTCTATAATGAGGACTGCTAGTTCATAACTTTCAGCTCTTTGAATAAGTGGGTACTGAGCAGAGTTCTAACCATACAGACAAGGTACCCCATGGTACTTACTCATGAACTGCTCAGGGCTGACGACGCCAGTCTCTGTCAACTGACCCAGTAACTTAAAAAAACCTAGTTTTAAAACATTTCAAGTCAAGAGAAAAGCAAAAGGAAGATTAAAATATGCAAAGAAGTAAAATGTTCACTGAGTAGGTTAAAGGAAATTACTTTTTCAAAACTCCATAATGTTTCCATTATAATCCTTAATCAAGTTTTTGTTGATTAAACATGCAAATTTTCAATAGTCTGTATTAGATAAGGGCATTTTCATACAAGTACCATATTTTAAAAATTTATTTTAAATTGCATTATTTTAAAAATTTAAACTGCAACCTATTCTTTTTATAATCAGAAAGCAAATGACAGCCCTCGACAATATTTGCCTGCATAAGATTTTAGAATAGGGCCGGGCGGTGGTGGCACATATCTTTAATCCCAACACCACTCGGGAGGCAGAGCCAGGCGGATCTCTGTGAGTTCGAGGCCAGCCTGGGCTACAGAGTGAGTTCCAGGAAAGGTGCAAAGCTACACAGAGAAACCCTGTCTCGAAAAACAAAAACAAAAAAACAACAACAAAAAAGATTTTAGAATTACAGAACCAGCATGTACATTGTTCATTGCTATTAAAGTTTTATGTAAGGGATACTGCATTTTCCATAACACTTGAAGTGCAAGATTCTCACCTCCACCGAATATCATTTGTAAGCTACAATGTAACTGATATAACACTGTTGAGACAGATTTCTAAATTTCTAATTTTACTAATGTTAATGCAGCCGAGGCATAGTGGTGCATGTCTTTAATCCCAGCACTGGGGAGGCAGAAGGCAGGCAGATCTTGAGTTCAAGACCAACGTGGTTTATATAGAGAGTTCCAGGATAGCCAGGGCTAAATAGACTCTGTCTTTAAAAAAAAAAAAATAATGATAATGCTAAAAGTACATTTAGAACTCTGAGTCATAATTTTTTTCTTTTTTCTATGTACACAGAAAAGGGTGTCAGATCTCATTACAGATGATTGTGAGCCACCATGTGGGTGCTGGGAATTGAACTCAGGACCTCTTGAAGAGCAGTCGGTGCTTTTAACCTCTGAGCCATCTCTCCAGCCCCGAGTCTTAATTTTTCAACATGCAGTAATTGTAACTGAAGTTACTTTCCTCAAATACCTCTGAAGAATACAATAGTCAGGTAAAATGTTGTTTTTTCATTACCAAAGTTTCAGAAAATTATTTTGGATAATTTAGATATTAAAGAATTACATTGGAGTAGATAAAACCCCTTCAATTTGTCCGTGAATGTTATTTCTGCATATGTAGCTTCTTGGAGAAACTCTTTTCCATGTGTTTAGACAGTATAACTTCATTTTTGTTTTTGAGGCATTTTTTTGGAAGGAGCACTACTGTATTTAGTTATTTTAAATACATCATAGGAGTATCTTGCCTCCAAGATACATACCTATTACAACTGAGTGCTCCAGTCATTTCAAGGACAAAATCAAGTACTCTCTGAGTTAACATCAGGCTTAGGAAGAAAACATGGATTTCTAGTCAGGTTTGCAAACTAAAGTTGGGCCCATACCTTTATTCAAGTCGCCAGTACAAAGAGGCCTCAAAACCAAGCCTTCTCCAGGATTCACTGGAGAAATAGCTGGAGAAAATGTAGCTGTATTCTGACTCCAGTCCACTTCTTTGAGCAGACTTGGGTCAAACATAGGTGTTTCATCGGGTTTCATCTTCCCAGTAAAGTCTAAAATAAAATTTCAAATGTTAAAAGGCTTTATTAGTAAAGAAAACGTGTGCTGGATGAGGAAGTTAATTTCATATAAATGGATTCTGTACCATTATATGAGCTACTTTACTACTAGACTACAACTGTAAACATGTAGAAAAAACAACTTTACTATCAGATGAAAAACGGGCTGAAACTAAGGGTGAAAATAATGGGTGAATAAGAAGTTGAACAAGAAGAAAACTTTAAAACTCCATTTTCATCATGTAGCTTAGGTTGCCTTCCCACTCTGCTGTATATGTGCTCATGTGTAGGCATGTTTGCATGTGTGTTGGGTACATGTGCACATGTATGCCCGTGAGTGTGGAGGCCCACGGTTGATCAGGTGTCCTCGATCACTCTCCACTTTATATACTGAAACCAGTTCTCTCCCCAAACCCTGGACTCACTTTTTAGGTTGGTGTAAATAGCCAGTTTACTCAACGGATTTCTCTGTCTCCTGGTGCTGTCATTCCCAGCCCACCCTACTTCTTTACATGGGTTCTGGCAATCAGTCAAGGAATTCTGGTCCTCAGTCTTGCACTGCAAAGGATCTACCCTCTCAGCTACCTCCCCAGCCTACCTCCAACTCCTGATTCTGTCTTCATGTTCCCCACGTTGAGGGTACAGAAGTGTCCCGCCATACCAGACCCCTGATGCACCTTAAATCAGTTTCTAGCACCCATCACTAAGTAGATGAGGACAGCCATTGGTCTAGTTAAACCCAAAAGATCTAGGAACAGTCAAACTCCTTTTAAAACAGGATTTGGAAAACCTCAAAGAGGAAGAAGCCTATCTTTCTAGTCATAAAGATATGCTGACAGAGGTCATGCCTCATTACAATCTAATAAAAATTCAGGTGAGGTGGCAGACACCTGTGACCCAGTACTAGGGAGGCTGGGGCATGGACACTGAGAGGTCAAGGCCAGCAGGGCTACCACAGTGACACCTACCTCAAACAACACACACACACGAAAACTAACTATGGAAACTGGAGTAAACATGGAAAATTCTTTTTAAAGTTGGTTTTAAGATATCCCCACATCCACCCTACACCTGGGAACTGGGTGGGGCAAATTTAAGGCTAGTCGAAACCTTCATTCTTGAGCACTTAAAGATTCATCACCAGCTAACTAAAGTTTGGTTATATGAATAGAAATATACGAAATGTAAACTCTAATTCAAAGCACCGTCCCCCTACTCGCTGTGTGTAACTGCTAAATAAGCGTTCATTTACAAGGCACGAGTACTGCCTTGGCCCTAGTCTGGTAAGTCTCTAGTCAATGAATAATGAATGACGTAAGGTCTCATTTAGCAATCAAATTTCAGAAAGGCACAAAGAAAAAAGACTGCCACAATGCCACTAGTGACAATACAAGTATCATACAACAAACTATATTTATAATAGTACCGAGGGGTTATTTTTTCCCCAACTGAAAACATTTTAGAGACAATTTCAAGTTTGGCTTTCCAGCCTCTGAATGAGATTGGATACAAATGGGAAGCAGCTGCTTCTAGGAAGACAAAACGGAGCAACAAGTAGTGAACATTGAAGACCAAGATTTACAAATTTCTAAACATGATCTACAGCCATATCAAACTCTCTGTGATGGGTGACCGGTAGGTAGAAAGCTCTCAAGTGTCTTCAAAGCATGAAGTATTTCCCGATAGTGTATTTGATCTGCACCATCTTTTTATCTCCAATCTAGCTGGATAGTTGTAGCACGGAGTTCCCAAGACCAGCCTAAAGGTCAAATGAGTGACAGCCTGTGATGAGGGTCCTCTCGTTTTTCCCATTGAGTTCTACAGCAGAAAACTCAGCAGATGACAATCTTTGCATCATGGTATCTGTTTTTACCATACGAATCCTGCCTTAAAATACCTCAATTTCCTGAGACCCATGCTTGGATTAATTAAGGGCTGATTATCCCAACAAAACGAAACCCCATGTATTTTTACATGAACAAATTTTGTGTTTGCCTTACATAAACATTAGTTCCTGCACACAATAGAAATCACACAGTGTTTCTAGGGGTACAAGTCCCAGGTCCCTCACCCCAGGCTTCACACAGTCTGCGCAGGGGTTCTTTAGAGCCAGAGGCAGTCTTCAGCCGCTCTGACCGCTGGACCGGTAAAAGGGAACCCAGGGTTAGCGCTCTTTCAGAGCGACAGCTGCAGAGTCCCCAAGTCCCACGCCACGGACACTCCGGTCTCTAGGCCCTCCAGGACCCTGCCCGGCCGGACCGCGGGCCACCATGCTTAGGAGCCAGGCTCCTGGGCAGGGGCGCCCCGGACTCGGGGTCTGCAGCCTCAAGGCGGTCCCAAGCCTGCCCTTCCTCGCGTCCCAGCCCCAGGTCACCTCACCGCACCGAACCGATCCACGTTCCCCTCCAGGCACGTCAGTCTCCACGGCGGTCACAGCGCCGCATCCGGATCCGGCTGCAGCGCCAGCACCACCCCCTTTTCTATCCCAGCCCCCCTTCGCGCCGCAGCCGGAACCGCCGGGCCAAACGTGGCCGGATCAACGCCTCCGTCCTGCCCCGCCCTCACGCACCGCCTGCGCACGCGGATTCCGAGCCACGCACTCAACTCCGGGGCTCTGTGGGCAAGGGGCGGGGCTCCGGGGAAGGGGGCGGGGCTCCGGGAGGCATCGCATTACTATGGGATGGGGCGGGGTTCTGGGGCAAGAGGCGGGGCACTGGGGCAAGAGGCGGGGCTCCGGGGCGGGACTCGGAGGCACAACAGAGTTTGCTGCGACTTTGGGGGCTGGGCGGGGCTCCGGGGCGGGGCGGGGCTCCGGGGCCTTTTAGGCGATTCCCGCTGTGGGGCAAGGACCAGGACAAAGCTTGCAGCATTTGATTACCTTCCAGGTGTGTCCTTGGCTAAATGCGCCCTTGTGCCACCGTCACCCTCACTCCTAATCTGAAAATAAATTCTTATGAGTATAAGCAGCGTATTGCGATGACCACTGTGGGTTCCTTTGATTCTCGGAGCCCCAAGGCTCCTGCCCGATTAGTCCCCTCTGTCCTTTCCCCTCACATGCAGTGCATTAATCAGGACTCAGGTTGCTCACTAGGGATCATGGTCTCAGATTGCCAAATGTCTGAGACATGGCTCTTGTCTTCTAGAAACTTGAGTTGGGACCACTCATCCAACCCCGTCTAGACTGCTCTTTTATTTCTTTCTCCTTTTTTTTTTTTGAGACAGGGTCTTTCTACATATCTATGGCTGTCCTGGAACTTACTACATCTAGACCAGGGTGGACTGGGCCTTCTCTGCCTCCCAAATGCTGGGATTAAATGTGTGTGCCACCATGCCTGGCTCCCTTGTAGTTTTTAGGGTGAGCATGGTGGGCTCTGCACTGCAGCTCTTCGCAGGAGCATTTCAGCTCACTCTAGGGAAGAAGTTGCACTGGGTTCTCCAGACAGTGAAGCAGGTTGCGGATGCCAGGCCGCTGTAGTGACCATCGTATGCAGTCCCCAGAGCGCTTGGCCTGTAATGATTATGAGAAAAAGACGACACTTCTGTGGGCTCCCACCTCCGAAGTGTTTTTCCTCAGTACCATGTGACAAGTGAGGAAGCAGAGATCTGGAAACCCTAAGTATTTTACAAAGTCACACAGCTGGTAACTTTTGTTAAAATTATAAGGTATTTATTCTCAAGGCATAGATTCAAAGAGCACAACAGATTATCAACTACAATTGTATTTCCTCTTATTTTGAGATTTAAATTTAAGGGGTTTTTGTTGTTGTTATTGTTTGCGAAGATAGGCCTGGGCTACCTGTGCCCTGTCTTTAAAACAAAAACAAAACCTGGTGTGGTGCTGCAGGCCTTTAATTCCAGCACTAGAGTAGCAGAGGCAGATAGATCTCTGTGACTTTGAGGCTAGCTTGGTCTATATTTAGTGAGTTCCAGGACAACCAGAGATTTGTAGAGAGACCCAGTCTCTCTCTCTCTCTCTCTCTCTCTCTCTCTCTCTCTCTCTCTCTCTCTCTCTCTCTCTCTCTCTTTCACACACACACACACACACACACACACACACACACACACACACACACACGATGAGGAGGAAATGTCTAGAATATACTAAAAGACCACTTGACTTCCATCTCTGAACTCATTAAAATATTTAAGAGTTTTTATTGCTTATTCAAAACTTTGAAACATTAAAGAAATGCAGGATAAGAAGTCATCTGTCCCTATAACTCACCTGCAGAGTTAGGATTATGTTAACAGCTTTGTAGATATTTCTTCAGATTTCTTGGGTTTCCTTTATCTTGTTTCCATTTAACTTACGTGCTGTGGAATAATCCTTTCATACACTTTAACGATGTTTTGTTCTCATTGGTTTAATAAAGAGCCAACTGGCCAATAGCTAGGCAGAAAGAGGTTAGGCTGGAGAGCCAGACAGAATGCTAGAAAGGAGGGCAGAATCAGCAGTTGGACCAGAGGAAGCAGATGAACATTCTGTGCTAAAAAAAAAAATGTGCTGCCACATGATAGAGCATAGATTAAAAAAAGGGTAAATTTAAGTCGAAAGAGCTAGTTAGTAACAAGCCTAAGCTATTGACCAAGCACTTGTAATTATTAGTAAGTCTTTGTGTGGTTATTTGGGAGCAGGCTGGCAGGACAGAAAAGTGTGCCTACACTTGCAGCCTTGAGCAAATTTATTCATAAGTGGGGTGTATGTGGCACCTCATCTGGCACTGTAAGGGTTTAATAATACATGTGAAATGTTCAACATATCTCCTGGCCCATAATATGTGCTTGAAATGCTAGTTTGTGTACGTGCATTTGTGTGTGGAAAGAATAAACTACAGTATGGTGAAACAATGAACATCTACCCAAATTCCAGTGTGACAAAACTTTATGTCTTTGTTAACTGCATGTCTTAACAGAATAGCTGAGTAATTTCTCTGTGCAATCCTGTAGGGGCCCAGGCTCATGGCAGGTGCCATTCACTCATAAGAAGACTCGGAAATACATGATGTCTTTAATAAAAAGAGACTAGAAAAATCCCGGGTAGACTTTTACTAACCTAACCCATAGCTGAGATTCCACTCACAATTGACTGGCCGTAATTAGAAAGGATAGCTTTGCCCAAAACTACTAGCTCATGGGTAAATAGAACATTTGCGAGCCCTTCAATGTCTGTTACAATCTTCTCCCTCCTCTTTTACTCAGGATGACACATACATGTAAATTGTATGCCAAGCTTTCTCCTTTTTTCCCCAAACATATAATATACCATGGACACCTCCCCAATGCCAATACAGTCATTTACCTGCTGACTACTTGCTGAGTCCTCTCCATGTCAAGTGTCATAGTACTGGGGTAATATAGAGAACATTTGTTAAGGTTTCCTTCATAGACTTTGTTAGATTGTGAATAGATTAGAAATGAAACACTTTTTTTTTTTTTTTTTTTTGGTTTTTCGAGACAGGGTTTCTCTGTGTAGCTTTGTGCCTTTCCTGGAACTCACTTGGTAGCCCAGGCTGGCCTCGAACTCACAGAGATCCACCTAGCTCTGCCTCCCGAGTGCTGGGATTAAAGGCGTGTGCCACCACCGCCCGGCCAGAAATGAAACACTTTAAATGTTATTTTCTATTAGGAGGCAATAAATGTTATGGTTTAATAAAAAATAATAAGCCAGATGATGGTGTGTTGTAGAATATTAGTTTAAGATGTGTTACTTTGTTTATGCTATGGAATATTTATTTAATAATGTGAAGATGTGTTGCATTCTTTTATGCTGTATTTGTTTAACTATAGGAAACTGTGTTACTGTGCCTGTCCAAAACACCTGATTGGTCTATTAAAGAGCTGAACCGCTAATAGCAAGGGAGGGGAAAGGATAGGCGGGGCTGGCAGAGAAGACTCTTGTTCCTCCTGGGTTTCAGCACCAAGGTAACAGGTTTTCTGTACCTTGCCATATAGAGTTCTCAGCTGACTCGGTAAGCCAGGTCAAGTTGAATTGAAAAAGTAAAGGACCAGGTTTATTTTGAGCAAAGCGACTCTCTAACCCCAGGAATCTATTTCTGGAGGAAGTGGGTTTGCTACCACCTTAATTAAGTACAGCCACATGGGCAGTCACCATTTTGACTAGGTTTGGAGAAGAGGGATGCTGTGTGATTTCACCACCACCTTGATTAAAAGTGACCACATGGAATGGGCCTACCAAGGAGACAACAGGTCTCCAGGATATTTTGGATTAGGATGGATTCCCATATGATAATTCCTGTCCTGTCCTGAAAGTAAAGTTTATAAAAGATAGGATTTAAAACAAGGGTAGTTTAATGAGGTAATAAAGCTGTACCTCCTGCATTCATGTAAAGGGATATATCTTGCTGGCAGCCAGATTTTTGTAACATAAGAGTAATCCACTTGATACTGATTTTAGAGACACTGAATTGTTTACACTGTTGAAACTTGGTTTTGCCTTCTATAAATTATGGTTGTGCTCTGTCTTCATTCTTGAAATAAAAACTTAGGATTACAGCTGAACACCAGAGACTGAGGTATTCCTATCTTATAATTCAGCAAGAGGGTGACCTAAACAGTCTGGAAAGGGTCTCTCCACCTAAGGTCTATTCAGGCTAACAAAGACTAAAGCATGTCTAACCGCCTTGCTTTTACTAACATTGTAAATTTGTAGCTAGTTTGGTAAACTAAGTCATACAGAAAACTGTTGTACTCTGTCATGGTGTACCTGAGGTCTCCAGGATAGCAGTTAGCCAGATGCTTCTTCACCCGTATCTCCCGCTGAGTGCTAGCCCACCAACTCCTGACTCCTTCCCCATGTTGTCCCATGCCAACAGGAAGCAACCAGATTTGAACTGGTGCCCATATACCCAAAAAGGTCAGGATGTTTGGCTGGAAATCAACAGCTCATTCCTGCTTTATTCAGAAAGGCCTACCTCTCTCTCTCCAAACCTCATCCTCTCAGAAAATCTCCAACAAAGGAAAGGCCCCAAAAGCCCAGGTTCACATTCTTGGTGACTGTGGCAGCTCCTCCTCTGAAGCTGCCAGCCACCCAAGAACCCACCTAAAAGCGTACCATACTTGGACACAAACCCAGTTAATGGAGGACATGTTGTCACCCTCTCACCTACAGGGTATTTAAGCTCCCTGCTTTAGTTTGAGCATATGACTTTTCCTGCCTCTTCTCCCGCCTTCACCTTTGGGACTGGAGAACTCACCCAGGAGTTGCTTTGCTCAAAATAAGCCTATTTTTTTGCTTTTTCAGTTTGGCTTGATCTGGCTTACTGTGTCGGTGGAGAAACCTACATATTGAGGTACAGAAAACCTATTAAAAGACATTGTAGTAGCCGGGCGGTGGTGGCGCACGCCTTTAATCCCAGCACTCGGGAGGCAGAGCCAGGCGGATCTCTGTGAGTTCGAGGCCAGCCTGGGCTACCAAGTGAGTCCCAGGAAAGGCACAAAGCTACTCAGAGAAACCCTGTCTCGAAAAACCAAAAAAAAAAAAAAATTAAAAAAAAGACATTGTAGTATAGTGTCTGTTCCCCAGATGTAGAAGTGAT